CAGTGTGTTCATGGTGTTCATGGTGAGGGTTGTCAGTGTGTTCAGTGTGTTCATGGTGAGGGTGTTTAGTGTGTTTAGGGTGTTCATGGTGAGGGTGGTCAGTGTGTTCATGGTGTTCATGGTGAGGGTTGTCAGTGTGTTCAGTGTGTTCAGGGTGTTCCTGGTAAGGGTGTTCAGGGTGGGCAGTGTCAGTGTGTTCAGTGTGTTCAGGGTGTTCCTGGTAAGGGTGTTCAGGGTGGGCAGGGTGAGCGTGGTCAGTGTGTTCAGGGTGTTCATGGTGAGGGTGGTCAGTGTGTTCATGGTGTTCATGGTGAGGGTTGTCAGTGTGTTCAGTGTGTTCAGGGTGTTCCTGGTAAGGGTGTTCAGGGTGGGCAGGGTGAGCGTGGTTAGTGTGTTTAGGGTGTTCATGGTGAGGGTGGTCAGTGTGTTCATGGTGTTCATGGTGAGGGTTGTCAGTGTGTTCAGTGTGTTCAGGGTGTTCCTGGTAAGGGTGTTCAGGGTGGGCAGGGTGAGCGTGGTCAGTGTGTTCAGGGTGTTCATGGTGAGGGTGGTCAGTGCGTTCAGGGTGTTCATTGTGAGGGTGGTTAGTGTGTTCATGGTGAGGGTGTTCAGTGTGTTTAGGGTGTTTATGGTGAAGGTGGTTAGTGCGTTCATGGTGTTCATTGTGAGGGTGGTTAGTGTGTTCAGGGTGTTCATGGTGAGGGTGGTCAGTGTGTTCAGGGTGGGCAGGGTGGGCAGGGTGAGGGTGGTCAGTGTGTTCAGGGTGTTCATGGTGAGGGTAGTTAGTGTGTTCAGGGTGTTTCTGGTAAAGGTGTTCAGGGTGGGCAAGGTGGTCAGTGTGTTCAGGGTGTTCATTGTGAGGGTGGTCAGTGTGTTCATGGTAAGGGTGTTCAGTGTGTTCAGGGTGTTCATGGTGAGGGTGGTCAGTGTGTTCAGGGTGTTCATTGTGAGGGTGGTCAGTGTGTTCATGGTGAGGGTGTTTAGTGTGTTCAGGGTGTTCGTGGTGAGGGTGGTCAGCGTGTTCAGGGTGTTCATTGTGAGGGTGGTCAGTGTGTTCATGGTGAGGGTGTTCAGTGTGTTCAGGGTGTTCGTGGCGAGGGTGGTAAGTGTGTTCAGGGTGTTCAGTGTGGGCAGGGTGGACAGGGTGAGGGTGGTCAGTGTGTTCATGGTGTTCATGGTGAGGGTGGTCGAGTGCTGCTTTCATTGGTGGTTCAATGGTGAGTTGTATCAGGGCGGGCGATGGTAAAGGTGTCATCGTGTTCAGCGATGTTCATGGTGAGGTGAAGTGCGTTTAGGGTTTCATGTGGTGAGCGTTGTCGCAGTGTGTTCATGTTGTCAGGGTGTTCAATGGTGAGGGTGGTCAGTGTGTTCCTGGTGGTTCAGATCGTTCATGAGTGAGGATCGTCATGTGTTTAGTGTGTTCATGGGAGAGTGTCACTGTGTTCAGGGTGTTCATGGTGAAGTGTCAAGTGTGTTCAGGGCGTTCATTGGTGAAAGGTTTCAGTGTGTTCAGTGGTGTTCATGGTGAGGGTGTTCAGTGTGTTCAGGGCGTTCATCGGTGAGGGTGTTATGATGTTCATGGTGATGGATGTTCAAGGTGTGCACGGGTGATGGGTGTAAGCTGTTTGCTCTATAACAGACGAGGAGGCGGTAGATAGTCTGGCAGCAACATAAAAAAGGAAGCCAGCAATGCGCCTGCTCGTAGTCATGCATTCTTTCAGTCCCCAGGTATTAGCTTAAGTTGATAATTGATCAGATTCCCGCTAGATATTCGCGTAGATATGTTTCATTGACAGAATAACAACAAAAACGAATCGTCGTTAACTGGCTGAGTGGCAATTGCTTACGAGCTTGTTCCAACGAAATAAAACGATTACGCACGAACACGTATCATTGCCCATTATTACAGTTAGCATGTCCTACGCCATGTAACAAATTTACGGGGAAGCGAAAATTTTTAAGATATATCTTGTTATGATAATCTAAACTTGATAACCACGGCTGAGAACGCTTTGTCGCGCGCATAATTCTTAATATCTAATTGGGTCGATAGAGCACTGCACGTGTGTTTCATTCTAGCGTGGCTCTCTGCCATCGGAGTTCGAAAAAATAGGAATCGGGCTAAAGCTGATGACGATGCGGTGGACCTCACACCAAGCCGTTTAAAATTTACAACTATGTTGAGTTCATCGGCTGTGCTCAGGTTAACCCGACCACTATGCTAACGCCGAACAAAATGAACGCGACTCGGATGAAATCTTGCAGACATTGGATCTGACGGCAGTGCTTAAGACTGCGTAAGTACGACTAATAATATTAATGGAAATGGATGAATGGATGGACTGTAGGATGGATGGAAAAATGGATGGATGCGATGGATGGATGTATGGATGGATGGATGATGGATGGCTGGATGGATTGGATGGATGATTGGATGAGTGGATGGATGGATGGAGGATGGATGATGGATGATGATGGATGGATGGGATGGATGATGGATGGATGTATGGATTGATGGATGGATGAATGGATGGATTGGAGGCATGATGGGTGAAGATAGATGATGGATGGATTTGTGATGGATGGATGGAATGGAGGATGGATGGATGGAGGATGGATGGATGGATGATGGATGAATAAGGATGATGAGAGGGATGATGGATGATATGGATGGATGGATGGATGGATGGATGAATAAAGATGGATAGATGGATAGATGATAGAGATAATGGATAGATAGATAGATAGATAGTACTAGATAGAGTAGTAATAGATAGATAAGATAGATTAGATAGATAGATAATAGATAGATGAGGATGAATGGATGGATAAAGGCTAGATAGATAGATAATAAATAGATAGGATAGATAGATTACGATAGATAAGGATAGAAAGAAAGATAGATAGATAGATAGATAGTAATGAGATAGATAGAAGCATAGATAGATACGATATGATATGATAAAGATAAGATGTCAGCATAAGATAGATAGATAGATGATAGATAGAAGATAGATAGAATAGATAGTATAGATGATAGATAGATAGATATAGAACAGATTGGTATGATATGATGATAGGATAGATGCATAGATAGAGTAAACTAGATAATAGATAGGAATAGATATAGATAGAACTTACGATAATAGATAGATAGATAGATACGATAGATAGAAGTAGATAGTAAGATAGATGTAGATAGATAGAATAGATAGATAGATAGATAGATAGATAATAGATAGATAGATAAGATAGAATAGATAGATAGAAAAGATAGATAGAATAGATAGATAGTAGATAGACTAGATAGATAGATAGATAGATAGATACGAATAATAATAGAATAGATAGAGATAGATAGATAGAGAGATAGATAATAGATAGATAGATACGATCAGAAATTTTTAGATTTAGATTAGATATATGAGACAGATAGATAGATAGGTAGATACGATAGCATAGATAGAAGATAGAGAGATCTGTGATTGTGAGTGTGAGAAAGGAACGAGAGGGTAAAGATAGTGTGAGACAATAATATGAGACGTACGTCGCTAATGAACGAAGGGTGAAGAATACTGCAGCAACTCAACATGGGTAAGTGAAGAGAGCGGAGGGCAAGTGGACAGAGCAGACGGATGAGAGATTGACTCTCATACAGTGGACGTGGGAATGAAATAAGTAAGGTGTGCGCATCGCATTAGTGCACAATAATGAGTAAGATCAATACATGTTTTTCATGTATAAGTTTTTATAGCGATTTCTTCCGAGCAAACAATCGGCAGATGTACACTTAAATATATAAATACAAACATTTAAAACAGACCATATATGTTAAATTTCTACAACTAGAGATGCGAAAGAGAGAAAAAAGAAAGAAAGAAATAGAAGGAGAGAGAGAGAAGGAAAAAGAGATAAAGGGAGAGAAAGAAAGAGAGAGGGTGAGAAAGAGAGAGAGAGAGAGAGAGCGGAGAGAGAGAGAGAGAGAGAGAGAGAGAGAGAGAGTAAGAAGAGAGAGAAGAGAGAAGAGAGACAGAGAAGAGAAGAGAGAGAGCGAGGGACAGAGAGAGAGGAGAGAAGCGAAGATGAGAGAGAACAAGAGAGAGAAGAGAGAGAGAGAGAGAGAGACAGAGAGAGAGAGGGACACGAGAGAGAGAGAGAGAGAGAGAGAGAGAGAGAGAAGAGAGAGAGAGAGAGAGGGAGAGAGAGTGAAGAGAGAGAGAGAGAGAGAGAGTCTACGTAGTTAGGTTTTGTATAAGGCTTATATACATTCTAACCCCTACACACACTTTGTGATACAGGCATCGTGACTCGATCACGGTGGACTCTCGCGGAGGCGAAAAGAAACTAGCCAACATTGCTACTGAGTTGCTGACAAATCCTGAACTCATGTACGTCGATGTAAGTATTCTATGGCGCATCTGTTTGAGTGCATGGTATTTGTAAGTGCGGGAAGCCACCATGTATTATTAATATATTCGTATAGTATATATATTATATATATAATATATATAATATGTGTGTGTGTGCTGTGTGTGTGTGTGGTGTTTGTTGTTGTTGTGTGTGTGTGTGTGTGTGTGTGTGTGTTGTGTGTTGTGTGTTGTGTGTGTGTGTGTGTGTGTGTGTGTTGTGTGTACGTGTGTGCATGCGCGCGTGCGTGCGTGAATGCACAGCGTATATATGTATATTATATATATATAATAATATATATATATTTATATATTAGTAATATATACGAATTAATATATGGTATTGCATAGTTATTGTAATTTTTTTTTAAAATAAATTATAAGTATAAAGAGTTAGATAGAGCGAGAGTGGGAAAGAGATAAAAAGAAAGAAAGAGAGAGATTGACAGAGAGGGGGATAGATATATAGACAGACAGACGGATGGATGGATGGATGGATGGATAGATAGACAGAGAAATAGATAGATAGATAGATAGATATCAGATAGATAGATAGATAGATAGATAGATAGATAGATAGATAGATAGATAGATAGATAGATAGATAGATAGATAGATAAATAGGTAGATAGATAATAGATAAATAGCTAGACAGATAGCTAGCTAGCTAAGCTAGCTAAGATAGATAGATAGATAGATAGATAGATAGATAGATAGATAGATAGATAGATAGATAGATAGATAGATAGATAGATAGATAGATAGATAGATAGATAGATAGATAGATAGATAGATAGATAGATAGATAGCTAGCTAGCTAGAATGAGTGAGTAAGTGATAAGAGTGTGTTTATATGCGAGTAAATGGGCGAATTATCTATGCTTTGTATACGCTAATATATCGTTACTTGCAGGAGCCCACTACTGGGTTGGACTCCAGTCATGCGTACGATATGATGAGAATGCTGAAAAGCTACACGGAGAAAGAACGCAAAACTGTGGTCATTACCATACACCAGCCATCCAGTCAAATCTTCCACATGTTTGACAAGATCTTACTACTTAGTGAAGGCCAGGTAAGCTATAGTTTGGGTACGGAGAAGGTATAGGTAGGGATGCTGCAATATTCAGACATTCGTAGTCTATTTCTTTGTTATCAATTCAGACAAAAAGACCAATATCTAAACACAACAAAATAGTTATCTAATGTTTTCCAAAAAGAGGAGTTTCTAAATGTAGTAATCAGAAATAAAAACAGCTTCGTGGGAGGTTTAGGGCTAAAAGCCAAATTGCTCAAAATCTCACAAGCCACGGTTACTTTTCAATTCGGTTTGGAATCATTCTGTACAGGTTGCATATTTTGGCGAGCGGAACAAGATTATCTCGTACTTTTCCAATCTGGGTCTTCAATGTGCACCACATTACAATCCGGCAGACTTCGTGCGTAAGTTCCACATTTTTTCATCCCCGTGTTCCACAATCAGATATAATAAACTAATAGCAGATATATACACAAACGCAAATACAATCGCTTACGCCAGCGTCACAAAACCACTTGACATTTCGAGGCAATAAGATGTTGACAGGCACACGTCGCCATACGGAAATAAGTTGCTCTAAAACTGTGAAAGTTTATTGAAGGCAACGATAAACTTCAGAGTAAAAAGATTACAGATTTACATAGAGGAAAACTATTATTTTAATAGGGACGTGGTTTTACTCGATGAAAATTAACACTAATAAAGGAATGTGCACGTGGTAGATGTATTATAATTCACGTTCTACTCCCATCGGTAAGGCAGTTTTTTTCTCATGTGCTTTACACTTTTGATTCGTTACGCAGGCTTCGTGTAGTTTTTAGGGTTCTCATGCCATTCTAACTGTCTTTACAGTGCAAGTGGTCGCGTCCAGTTCAGAGGTCCACGCCAAAGTAACATCCGCCTACATAGCCTTAAAGTATATCTAATCTACCACCCACTATGATTCTCCTTACATTACGTTATATCATTATTTAGTATTAAATGTATTAATTTGCTATTTGTTATTGTAATTTATTTATATTATTAATTACCATAGGCCTACCTTACACACCATTATTAATTATCATCGCTGTACTATATTCCATATTTAATTATTTTAATATCACAAATCAAAGAACCGTTGTTAGCAGTGGCAGATCCAGGGGGGCACAGGGGCGGTCGCCTCCTAGAATATTCAGGGCAAGGGTATTTTAGTCTAACAGCCCACTGGTTAGTTATCATCATCGCCGAGCTAAGCTATGTCACCAGCCTGTGCTGGGTGGAGGACAATCACTGATTTATGGACCACCTGTACAGGGAGGTCACCGATGAATTCGAGATGATGTCGGCAATCGAGTCGCTCGAACAAGTTGAAGAGACGGAGTCTGTCATCGACATGCTCGACTTTGGAGAGACGCTGCATTACAAGCACGATATGGCGCACCGTCCTCCCAGCAAAACCTGTGAGCGCATCGCGACTGTCGCATACACACTCTCGCTGGTTTTGAACCATCTCTCACATGCAGCTTACGCGAGGAATATATATATATATGACTTCCTTAAGGCCCCGCACACGGTGCGTATTCGGCGCGCGCCAACGGCGCTTAGCCAAATTCTCACCGTGTGCGAGCTGGTTTACGTGAGCAAATGGCGCGCGCGTTTAGCTCAACGCCGTTGGCGCGCGCCGAATTATCACCGTGTGCGGGGACCTTAAATATGCTATCTAGGAACCTACGAGTGATAGGATAAGATATATATATATATATATCAAGGTATTATTAGCTCTTGTCGCCTCTTGAACCTCCGGGTTCCTTCCCGTTTCCCCAGGCTAGGAAATATGCCATTTCCCGGTTTCCAATTAGGAGATCGCAATTTAGGGCTTTCCCGTGTCCCGGTCGAGTTCTATTCCCGAATCATGACAAATTTATCCGATATTTCCCAGTTCCCCGATAAATAAAATGGCTCGATTTTGCATCCCAAAAATAACCGCCTCTTTCTTTCTCTCTCTCTCCCTCCCTCCGCTCTCTCTCCCGATATATATATATATATATGTATATATATATACTATATGTGCCATGATGATACACGTAACAACTGTGATCGTATTTACAGATCGTAAGAAAAAACAGCTAAATAGTGTGAAGAAATGGTATACCAACTACTACGACGAAAAATGGCCTACGTCCTTCTGGACTCAGTACAAGGTCCTCACTCTCAGAAACTTTCTTCAGGTATACATACATCGTACCCCCAAACAATGCCGTAATGTGTTCCTGCTACTAGTCATATTTCTACGTGCGTGTTTTTGACAAAGCACGCAGTGTCTTTAGTCATTATTGCATTACAGGCAAAGGACAAGATTCTATCCAAGTGGTCAGCGGTACAAGTGTTGAGCGTCGCAATGATGGTTGGTTTGGTATGGTACCAGCTAGACAGGAAAGAAGAGACTCTAAAAGACAGGGAGGGTGTGGTGAGCGTTATTAGAACCATGCACGTATTAGGCCTACCTTAGTATTTCTTCAAGTTTCTAATTCCTATTCGATATGTTAATAGCTTAAACATGCAGAATTCCTGTCGTAAATAAAACACAAGTGGCTTAATGAACAAACTATTTTGCAGTTATCCTAATTTCGATTTTCCAAGAAATGCCTTCAATATTATAATAACGAAAATCGAAATGAAAACGGGTAGTACAGTAGAGAGTTGACTAACCGTAATCATTCTTTGTAAAACTTTTCTATTTTTTCTATTGTTAGTTGTTCTTCACAATTATCTACTGGATGTTCAATTCCATGATGGGTTCTCTCACTACATGTAAGTTTTCATTATAAGCAGTTCTCTCGCGTCATGAATTGCTCACAAATGCACGCGGAATAGGCGTATATTGCTTCCATATACGTGTCCGTTGAATTTACAGTTCCAGAAGAGAGAGAAGTGTTAAACAAGGAGAGATCTGCAGGGGCATACAGGTTGTCTGCCTACTACCTGGCCAAGCTAACGAGTGAGTTCCCACTGGCCGTGACACTTCCCACTATCTACTTGGTGATGGTATTCCCCATGGTTGGTCTGAACGGCATCATAGGATTTGCGGGCATGTGGTGTGGTCTGATGGCAAACGCACTCGCTGCAGAGGTAGGTAACGCCACCTGTTATCGAGGGCACGAATTATTTCGCACATATGACGTCTTTCTCTGAAGCCGGTTTTAGTAAACTGAAGACGACGAAAAATCGAAGTGATTTTTTATGCAAATATCGTTTGTGCGTTTACTGCGTCCTTGTCACAAACACCATTTGCAAACTTCGCCACGAGAACGTACCTGTTGCAGTAGAGCATGTTGTTCGGGATCGTAGCTGCCGTAGGGTGGCAGCGTCCCACTAGACGTTGAAGAAAATATCCCACCCTAATAAATGTAAACACATATATAATAAGTGTTAATTATCACGTAGTCATGTGTGAAACGCTCGTCGCACGCACAGTACCACCACTCTATGAGTGTCGCATGAGAGTCATTACTCAGCTTTGTTATAATGAATGTAAAAATGATCAAATAAACAATGTCAAAAGCAATCGTTCGACACACACACGTATTAGGAGATTTTGCCCGCGGCCCGCCCCTGCCCCCACTAGGAATTCGCTACGGTCCTGAGACTGCTACCTGCTGTAGCAGAGCAAATCACGTCGTGGCACGATCGTCTCCCACTTTTCGACTGTCAATGACGCGGCCGCCGTCACGACATGAACAACGTGACATATCTGACGCGCGACAGATACTGTATACGCTGTATATTTCGCGGTGGTTTAATTTTCGCGAATTTCGCGAACGCGTCCCCGACCGCGAAAATAACAACACGCGAATAATTCATACCGAATATTTCATAATTCACCGACCGCGAAATTAACCACTCGCGAAATTGTCCGTCATTTCTGAATTCCCGAAAATATCTCTTCGCGAAAAATATACGACGTCTGTACTGCTTTCCCTTGCAGGCTTTCGGGCTGTGCGCCGGAGCGTACTTCCTCGACCAGACGCAGGGCATCACTGTGTGCGTGACGATCAGCCTCTTCTATCTGATGATGGGTGGATTCTACGCGAAACACGTACCCATCTGGCTGTCGTGGGGTCGCTACCTATCTCCGCCGTACTACGCCTTCAACGCGTTCATCATCGTGGAGTTCACCCGCGCCGCAGGTTTCACGTAAGACGTGTACTCGGGGTCATAGCAACTTAGAGGAAAGGGGGTTCTCACTTCACTATATCCCCGCTGTCTCATTCACTAGATTTCAGATAAAAAATCATAGCCTACCGCATATAAATTTCCATGAAATAAGTGTAAACTGTCATGCAGTCATTCGTGAAACCATCGACTCACACCCACGCTGTACCACTAGATAACTCCCGTGCATGGGTAACACGGTAAAATGTACCGGCCTTAAACTGCTATTGCTCATGCATGGTTACATGGACAGACAGAGAGTGAGTGAGAGAGAGCGAGAGCGAAAGAGAGTGAGAGAGAGAGAGAGAGCGAGAGCGAGATTGAGAGCGAGAGAGAGAGAGAGAGAAGTGTGTGTGAGAGAGAGAGAGAGAGAGAGAGAGAGAGAGAGAGAGACGACGAGCTCGATATATATGTCTATCATCTTGTGTCTCTCGAGGCTTTTTTCTATGTCTG